AAAATACTGGACTAAAATCCACATGTGGTTGGAGAAAATGACAAAAAAACATATAGACTTGAAACCAGAGATATTTTTATTGGGAATTTTACCTGAAATATATAGCAAAGACTTGAAATACCTGATTGTAAATGTATTAACAGCGGCTAGGATTGTATTTGCTAAAAACTGGAAATATGAGAAGATACCATCACAGGAGGAAATATTAAGAAAATATTGGAATGTGCTGAAATGAGTAGATTGACATTTGAAATTAGAGAACAAGAGGATAAACAATTTTATAAAATTTGGGATCTTTTCTATCAATGGTTAGATAACAAAGTACAGTAATGAAATATGTAGATTTCTAGAAAATAATAAATATATAAAGATGTACTTTTTATTATTATAATTACAAAATGATTTTAGGATAGATTTGGGATGATAATATGAACTGTTATACAATAAATTAAGTAAATTATGGTTATCTTGTAAAACATGAATGAATAAAAGTATAGTCAAATGGTTGATTAATAATGATACTAAGGTATTTAGTTTTTGATTGACAATATGAGATTATATGTAATGTAATTGTAATTGAAGACTACGAAATGGAAGCACAAAACAATTTGTAAACCAACCGGCACACTGTATGTACACCTATGGAAGACAGCTTGATGTTTTTATGTTTTGTTTGTTTATGTTTGTTTTAAAAAACCAATAAAATTTAAAAATAAAAATAAATTTTAAAAAAAAACATAAAACCCATGAAAGTTAACAACCAATCGCATTGTTTGTATCTGGGAATTCAGCTTTATATAAACTTACCTTTTTCCCCCTGTGAATGTTCTACTTTCTCAACAATTTGGAGTGCAAGGATTGTTCATATAATAAATTCTAAGCTTTCCTTCTCAGGATTCGGTTCTTCTTCCACAACAATATTAAAATTGCTTACCTTTTTAATAGCTTAGTCAGTTGGGTAAATTTATGTTTTAATGTATTCTGTGAAATGATTAATTCAGTAACTAAGTTAAGCACGAATGCCTTGATAGTGAAATGTTAGGAGGGGAAAAAAGACAGAACACATTTAATGTGAATATTAACGGTCTCACGTTTGAGTGAGCAGTGCTATCTAAATTCAGAGGCAAGTAGAAATGTCTTCTTTTCAGAACTGCTTTTTGCCCTGACTGAGAATAATTCATCAGTGGAACGACTTGCCAGAAGAAATTGTGGGTGCTCCAACACCGGAGGGTTTTTAAGAAGAGATTGGACAAACATTTCTCTGAAGTTTCCCTGCTTGAGCCAGGGTTGGACTAGAACACCTCCAAGGTCCCTTTCAATTCTGTTTATTCTCCTGAAAATATTTTTGAACCTTTCACCTCATTCTTTCTTCCCCAAAGTCCAGATTTTCCTTTCTTTTCTCCCTCCTTCGAGTATTCTTGAAATGTTACTTGTCATGCAGTCAACTATGTCATTGGGTAACACCCTTCCCGCATACATGTGAGACATCCATCACCTGAAGCAGTGAGAGCCTGTTTTTGTCAGAAGGCCCATGTGGCTTCTGGAAGGACAGGTCCTTCAGTCTAGCTGGTAGAAGGCCTCCAAAACATAACTTGTGCCATGGTTTTGCTATGCAGTGTGAATCCCATTCAGCCCTTGGGGCCAGTCTACCTGCAATCTCTCCTTTCGCCCACTTATCTCAATATTGTTCTTTGAAAAACAAATACCTGAAAGTTTTCCTCCTCTATTTTCCCATGATACTGAAAAACCACCTAAACTACCAATCTGAAAGGCAGCTCCAGGCTACCACTTCTTGTTTATTGAATGTTTCCTCTGCTGTCGATGGCATTTTTTTTAATGCTTGCAGTCTTACACAATTGTTCAAACCAAAGGAGTATGTAAGGAAAAGATGCCCCTGGGAGAGAAAAGCAACAGCTCTTTAGATCAACAAAACAGTGCAAATGGAAACAGTGGAATTAAGAAGAGCAGAAAAGGACCTGGCTAGTTCCAATAAATTTACTATCTCATTTCTTACCATTCTACTAGGGAAATGGCTCAGGAGTTGGAGACCCTGAGCTTGTCAGCTTGAGCTGACAGACCGGGTTTGAGACCCGAGCTCTGCGCAACAGGGTGAGCTCCCATTACTTGCTCCAGCTCCTGCCCACCTAGCAGTTCAAAAGCATGTAAATGTGAATAGATTAATAGGTACCACTCTGGTGGGAAGGTAGCAGCATTCCGTGTGCCTTTGGTGTATAGCCATGTTGGCCACATGACCACGAAAATTGTCTTCAGACAATGCTGGCTCCCTTGGCCAAGAAATGGAAATGAACCGTGCCCTCTAGAGTAACACATGACGGTCATGGAAATCTTTATCTTTTTTACTAGGGAGAAGTGTTTTTCTCTGAGCAACAGGGGGAAAACACCTTCCCGTCAAGTCACTCTGTTTATATTGCTATTCTAGACAACATTAGTCAGACACATCAAGGGTAAAATGATGCAGTACCAACCTTACCAACTTGATTCATGAACCAATAAACTGAGCTAGGGATTGAAAACAAATAAATGATCAACTCTTTTTTTTGCCTATCTAGGCCCCTAATGGATTTTGAAAAGGGGAGGAAGTAATCAATGATCAGAGTGGGGAGGACAAATTCTTTGGGCACTGTGCATACAATCCAGTTGGAGATTATACTTTTTTAAAGGCTCCACTGACTTTCACTACCTTAAATTAACCTTTCCCCACGGAAGGGGTAATTATATCAACACTACCTGCTTAGAGTACTGCAGTATGCGCTACATGGGGCTGCCATTGAAGCAGTGCAGTGGCCTCCAAACTGATCAGAGTATTGCACTGGCGGCCATACCCTACTTCCATACCCTACTCCTGCAGTGCACAGGCACTCCTTGACTTACAATGGTTTATTGGTTCATGACTTCTTTTAGGGAATGTTTGAAATTACAATGACACTGATAAAAGTGACTTAGGACCATTGCAGCATTCCCAGGGTCACTTGATTAAAATTCAGTCGCTTAGCAACTGACTCATATTTATGACGGTTGCAGGGTCCCGGGGTCATATGATCCCCTTTTGCGACCTTCTGACAAGTAAAGCCAATGGGGAAGCCAATACACTTAACACACTTTTGATTAATTTACCAACTTCACTGATTCACTTAACAACTGTGGCCAAAAAAAAGATTATAAAATGGTGGTGGTGGGGAATCAATGAAATGTCTTGCTTAGCCACAGAAAATTTGGGCTTCATTGTGGTCGTAAGTCGAGGATTTCCTGTACTGGCTGCCAACAGGCTTCTCTATGCCTGTTGAAGGGCTGGTGCTACTCTATAAAGCTTTACAAAGCTTATCTCTGAGGTATCTACAGATGGCATTATCCCACTGGAATAGACCTGGTTGGTTCCATCTTCCGGGAGGAACTATTAACATTGCTCAATTTTTCATGGGGGGTGGGGGGAAATTAAGGCTCAACGGTGTTGCTTTTTTGTGGCTGCACTGGTTCCCTGGAATGGCCTTGCAGTGAAGATCCAGTCAGATTCAACCACCATTACTTCTGGGAGCTGCTCAAGCTAGATCATTTCCAGAGGCCATTTGGATCTTGATGTCATCTTGGTTTGGTCAGATTAAAATTTTCTTTAGTTTCTGGAGCTTTATTTATATAACTTTTATTTACTATTTGATTCTTATATATAAACATCTGGAAGTTCTTAGGGATTCAGTGGTCTAGAAAGACACTATCCAACTTTATAACATTATTATTAGTATTGTGATCATACAAATACACGTTTTCCTACAAAGAGGCTTATAACAAATGGAACTGATCAGCCATTAGAAAGTCATCCAAATGAAAAATAGATTGGACTGTTTTATTTAAGGGTATTAATCAAATTTATATCGATTCCATCTGGTGAGAAATGGGCAGTGTACAAAATCAATAAAAATGATGCATGTGTAAAAAAATATAAAAAGCAACATTCAAACAAAGATTAATTAAAACTGAAAAAATACACAGCTGCCTTTAGACATAGTGAAGGAAAAAGCTGCATCCAGCAAATAATGTTCTCATGTGTGAATCAAAAAAATTAATGATGGCTGTCAGTAGCTAAATTTTGGTCACTGATGAAAAATGGAACTATCTCACTAGGACTTTGACCTTGGATGTTACAGAATTTTAACTCCAAGCAGCCACAACTATTATGGCCAAAGATGAAAAATGTTGGAAACATTTGGAGGTACATAATTATAAGTTGTCAGCTTCTTCCTGTGGGAGATAGCTTGATTTTTCTGTTCAGGTTGTTTCAAGGAAAGATGAATCAGGAAAACCTAAAACATTTTCAAAGGCATGATGTGCACATGATGGACATACATTAGATTCCCCAAAAGGGAGGGAGATTGAGCTCAGCAAGCAATAAAGTTCATAAGTCAACGATAAGACCTTTGACAGAAGTCAATAACTATTGGTGAGTATATCAGCTCTAACACTGGACAAACAGATTGTCCTACCAATATACATAGAGCAAATAATAGATGATAGAGCAATGTCAAGTAAAAGAGAATGGAAATGGATGCGAGCTTATTTACCTTCCTTCAGAATAAATGGAATCCAAAGGACTTTGTGCTTGGATGACTCATTCATGTCCCATGATTGGGTGGTTAAAATTTGTGCAACAAAATAAATAAATGTGCTTAAAAGTCACAGCATCTGGAGATGAATTTCAACCTTTGACTCTGAGATGATATTTCCCACTGAAAAGCAGATAATGGAGAAAGGCAATGAAGCACAAACCAATAATGGATGACGAGGAAAATGACATTCCATAATGAATGACCATGGAAAATGACATTCCAAATAAGATTTGAAATAGCCCTGACATGATGGATAAGGGTAGGACAAGATAGCAAGGAATCGGTTATATGTCCCTTAATTTCTGGAAAACTTTTGATCAAGGCTGTAGAATATGTCCAGTTACTCTGTCTCTGGGATTATACTTTGCATATTTTAGAACATTAATTGCAGTTAACTCAGAGTACAGGATAACTTTCTCCAACAGCCAGGAAGATACTTTGGGGCTTCCTATTAAATACTTCATCCAATGTTGAACACAGAACATTGGAGTAATACAGGCCGTCCTTGACCTATGACTGTAATAAAGATTCCCATTTTATGGTTATAAATTGTATCATCATGTGACTGATCTGATTTTATGACCTTTTTTGGGTGGTCATTGAGTGAATGCCACAATTGTTAAGCAAACCCTTGTTGGTGATGGGGCATTTTTTTTGCAGAAAACTGGAAATACTTGCCAGTTTGGGGCAGAATATTGTAAATTGTGGTCATGGGACTGTGGGGAGGGAGGTCATCAGAACTTTGGAACAGGATCATAAGTATGTTTGGAAGGTCCATCATAACTTTCTGGTCGAGGACTATCTGTAAATTAGCTTCCTTGCAAAGAATTCATGCAGAAGTGAAGGGCATCGGTTAACACATCCAAAGTCTACACAGTATTGCTCTCCAATTCAACCAGATTGCTTTTCTCAAAATGACAACGCTTGGCTTGCTCAAGCACGTTCCCCCTCTCCTCCACAGTCAGGCATCGGTGGATTTGGGAGAGAAACGAATCTGTTTCCCTCTCTTTGTTGAAGTTACCCTAGGAAAGGAGGTGGGAAACAACAGAAGTCTGAAATTATTCCATCGAGGGCGTCGCTTCAAGAGTCTCTCAGTTGTCGTAATCTGGAAGTATTTCCAAAAGGAAAGAGACAGAACTTCCCCAAGGGGAAGGAAAAAAAAAAAGCGCAAATTCTATACACCCCCCCTTTTCTGTCTCTCAAATAGATACTCAAATAAATCTTTAAAAGAGCTCATATCTGCAACTCCGATTCAGGTAGTTTAATAAACAGTGCATAAACAAGGAGATGTGTTTGTGGTATCACGTGCTGCCTCTTGCCTAGAAAACAAGGGAAGTTGAGCTAAAAAGCACAGTGACCTTTCCCAGATCTGAGCCCAAGCAACATCACAACATCCCGTCTAATTAGAGTGTTACTACCAGTTACGATATCTGGAGAGCTCAAAAACATACACAGACACACCCCCGGGGCAAAGCTGCGGCTGTTTATGAGAAATATTACACGGTAAGTTGATGATAAAAAACTTCCAAGCGGCTACAAAATGTTTATTACCTGAAGGAAAGCCTCTCGTTTTCTGTTGCTTACAAAAACAATTTTTTTAAAAAAAAAAAGAAAAGAAAAATCCAAGCCACCTGACTTCAAACAATGTGTGATGTGTTGACAGATGCAACAGAGATGGCATCCCATGGTCAAGTTGGAGCCTACAGAGGGGCTGGGGGCAAACAGAGCATTCCTAATGTGGGCTGGGCTGAACCTATCTTTATTATTAGATCAGCAGAGACAAAAAATATTTGGCTGCCTTCAAAAGTGAAATGAATTCATTCACCCAAACAAGAGTTTAGGGGTCTGCAATCTTTAAACAGCAGAGAGTGTGCGGAGAAGAGCAACACAGATGATTAGGGGACTGAAGGCTAAAACATATGAAGAACCGTTGCAGGAATTGGGTACGTCTAATCCAGTGAAAAGAAGGACTAGGTGGAGACATGATAGCGGTGTTCCAGTATCTGAAGGGCTGCCACAGAGAAGAGGGGGAGTCAAGCCCGTTCTCCAAAGCAGGGGTCGCCAACCTTTTGGGCCTCAGGGACCACCAAACTCATAATTTTAAATCCCGCGGACTACTAGTATGAATTTTGACGGTGGCTTGCTGACGTTGGTGGGGGGGGGAGAGAGAGAGAGATCCGATCTAACCTCGGAGGGCTGGCTGTGATTCTCTCTCTCTCTCTCTCTCTCTCTCTCTCTCTCTCTCTCTCTCACACACACACACACACACACACACACACAGGTCCCTCACACATCCCCACCCCTTCCAAGGCAGACACATTCCTAACCAGCTCCGTTCTCAAGCGGGGAGACAGAGGGATGGTAGAAGAGAGAGACTGGGAAAATCACAAAAAAAGTTTGCAGGAAAATCCCCCACCCCGTTTTCCTACCTATTGATCATTCTTTACTGTCTCCAGCTTCATTCTGGTGGGGGGGGGGGAGAGACACTTTTGGCTTCATGCAAGGAAAGCAGCAGAAGCAGAAGTCTTTCTCTCCCCCAAACCAACAGAAATGAGTCTTTGCCGGCGCAGCCTCTAGGAGCAGGACGCCTTGCAGGGTCCCAAAGACTCATTTCTGGCAGAGTTTGGGGGAGAGAAAGAAAGACTTTTGCTGCTTTCCTTGCGTGCACCCAAAAGCAGGAGAAGAAAGAAGCGGAAAGAAGCAGCCCAGTGACCAGATGAGGTGCATGGGGCAAGTTCCCCCCCCTCCGCCCTTTCCCCCCTCCCCTCACTACCTCATGTTGTTCACAATGCAAGTGACACAAGCCTTGTGTTCTCGTGGGCCATGTGGGCGGTGCAGCCTTGTGTTCCTGTGCAGCCTGCATTAATTGCTTTGGGGAGTGCTTGGAGGGTGACATTTCTCTGCAGACCACCAAAATTTTCTCATGGACCACCAGTGGTCCCCAACCCACTGGTTGGCGACCACTGCTCCAAAGTATCTGAGGGTAGCACAAGAAGCAATGGATAGAAACTAATCAAGGAGAAAGGCAACCTAGAACAAAGGAGAAATTTCCAGAGGATTAGAACCATTAATCAGTGGAACGACTTGCCTTCAGAATTTGTGGGTGCTCTAACCCTGGAAGTTTTCAAGAAGAGACTTGGACAACCATTTGTCTGACTGTAGACTTTCCTGCCTGGGGGGGAGGGGGGGTTGGACTAGAAGACCTCCAAGGACCCTTCCAACTCTGTGGTTCTATTATGAAAGCAATTAAAGAACCTTTTTCTTCAACCAGGAAAAGGCAGTCTCAAACTTAACACGCTACACTTTTTACAAGGTCATTTGTATTTTAATCAGTCCATTAAAAATAAACAGGAATAAAGTTCTGCAAAAAACACACCCCATTTGATGAAGTCTTGCATATTTTCCCCTTCAGAGGCTATCAGGGTTTCATGTGGCTCTTACTAACGTATAAAGGCAATACCCAAATTAAGAATTTTCAACTTAGGGACAACTGGTGCATACAAACATAGAGCCTGCTATATTAAAAATATGAGTTAAATACAATGGTTTACAGTGACAAACACATGCCCTACTTTGTGATGCTCATGAACATACATGCACGCTTCAGCAGCTCATGGATTCAAGGAAGAAGCCACTATTTTAAGTTGGACTGTTTCTCCAAAGTGCTTCCAAGAAGAGGAAAATGAACACGATTGAAAACAAGTGGAAACAAATAAAGTGATCAGAGAAGCAGATGATAGCATTTGAGGAATAAGACTGAGACCTAAAAACTTCAGAAACAAAAAATGTCTCTGACAAAAAAGTTAGCTGGAGCCTTTCATCTTAATTGAAGCAGGGATGGCAAATTTAGAGAAGTGAAGTCATAATGCAGGAGAGATTCACCAAAGTTTACCACACAGTTACCAAGGGCCGCAGCTGCTTACAAGGCCATTTATGATGAGGCAAAGAACTGTACAAACTGTTCTGTCATCAGTAAAGAGACTCGCAGACCAGAGTTGAATTCAGCTCTTTAATAATAACAGTAACTTCAACTGCAGTCGAACCGCAGCAGCCCTTTTTATAGCGGCTGCTCCATGGCTCGCAGCCAATGACATTTAGTTAAACTTCCCGCCGCTATTGGCGGCCAATCAGGTACTAACGTTACTAACCAATTGTATCATTGCTTCTGTTAACCAATAGGAACATTGCCCTAGAAGTCTTTATTTAAATACACTACGCAAACATCCCTTGATGCCTACTTCCAGGTAAAGATGCTGATTTCATTTATTTGATCAGCAGAGATCAAAGATGCCACCTGCGAAAGGGACAGACTCCAAAGGTTCAGTAACTGGTTACACAGCACCTTCAATTATAAACAACTGCAGATAACTCATTCCTAGAGGAACATAGAACGTTGTTGCAAATTATGTCAGATCACTAGTTCTTCTAGTTTAAAAGAATCAGTACGGATCACTAATCTTCAGAGCAGGGGTGGGATTCAAATTTTTTAACAACCAGTTCTGTGGGCGTGGCTAGGTGGGCATGGCCATGTGACTGGGTGGGTGTGGCTTGGGTTTTTTTGGCAGCACCTCCCTCCCATTTTTGGGGCCTTCTGCGCCTCAGGGAAGCCTCCTGGGGGGAGGCATTTTTGCTCCCAGAAAGTTTCTCTGGGGCCCAGGAAGGCAAAAAATAGAGCCTTCCTGGGCCTCAGGGAAACCCCCTGAGTGAAGCAGTAAGACAGTGAGGGGAACCCTGGCACAGCTGATCATAGGAACAGCTGATGGTTGGGAGAGGGGGGAAGAAATACCTTAAGTCACTCGTGACTGGCCAGGGACGAACCCAGTCAACGATGTTGGGCATGCATACAATGTTGGGCATGCGCAATTGGGACTGACTGGGTGGGGAGGGGAGGGGCAGGCGGAGAGGGCAGGGCCAGCCAGGGGCACGATTTGCTGGTTCTCCAAACTGCGCAGAATCATAACAACCGGTTCTATAGAACCGGTCCAAACCGGTAGAATTCCATCCCTGCTTCAGAGTTCTTTCTGCACGGAACAGAGATGCTCATTCCAAACCCAGCTCTATATGCAGCGCATAATTCAGGGGCAAAATACATGTTTTGTACTATATGTAGAAGATCCCATATTCAATCGGTTGCTGTAGTTAAAAAAAAAAAAAAAACCTCAGGTGCTAAGGGTTAGGAAAGAACACTCTCTGCTTGAGATTTGAGAAATGATTGTAAATCAAATCAAATAGACTAGGATGTCAAACAGGGCCCACGGGCCGGATCTGGCCCCAGGGGGTGTTTTGATCTGGCCCATGGGCCTGCTGTAGAAAATAGTGAAGGACCGGCCCGCGGTGCCTCTGCCAGTGAAAACAGAGCTCAGGAAGCCCACATGCAGCCCTCCTGAGCTCCTTTTTCACTGGCAGAGGATTGCAGGAGGCTGTCGCAGCCAGAAACGGAGTTAAGTAGTTCATTTTTGCTGGCAGAGCACTCAGGTCACCACAGGCATCCCCGACATGAGTGATGTCGAGCTGGCCATGTCCACCCCACCCACCCCAAAGTCAAACACAATCCTGATTTGGCCCTCAATGAAATCGAGTTTGACACCCCTGAAATAGACCAACATACTAATTCAAGATGCAGCACCTATACAGGTAGTCCTCAACTTACGATCACAATTAGAACAAGAAATTCTATTGTAAGTTGCTGTGGTTGGACCCAGTTTTATGAACAATCATTACAGCTCTCATTAAGGTTGTAAGTGTGAGTATAGATCGTAAATCATTTTTTCAAAGGCTGTCATAAATGAATGGTTGTAAGTCAAGGTGACCCGTAGAGGATCTCCAGGTAAAAGGAACACTCCAAATATTTTATTCTATGTCAGGGTGTCAAACTTAAAGCCCAGGGTCAGGATCTGGCCTGGGGGACGAGCGGTCTGCCACCTCCAAGTGGTGTCCCCTGGATGCGCGAAGCCGTTAAACGCTGACCGTAACTGAGAGCAGACCCTCCGACGACAGGCCCACGCGACAGGCCGGCTGGAGTACTCAAATGCCGCATCAACATGGTGGAAACGTCCACTACAGAACACACGCCCAATGCTACCGCGTTCGGGGGAACCGACGGGCGCAGGAGACCATTTGCCTGCATCAAAAATCAATGAAATGGTCCACGCGGAAAGCACGGCGCATTTGCACCATGTGAGAAAGCTATGATGGCCGCGTCCGGGTCTGACGCGCACGGAGACTACCCGATCCGTGTGAAAAATCGCAAGCGGGGAACAGAGGATTGCCAGACGCTCAAGGTGGCCACCCGGAACGTGGATTCGCTGACTGGACGCTCGACCGAGATCGTCAGGGCCATGCGGGACAGGAAGCTGGACATCTGCTGCCTCCAGGAAACTCGCTGGAAGGGCAACAAGGCTACGACTATAGACGGCTATAAGATCATATACACCAGCTGTAAGGAAAACCGCGGCGGTGTAGCTGTGGTTTTCAGTCCCAGCTGGCAAAGCTCCGTTGCAGAAGTTAAGCGCCTCACAGAATGACTGATGATAATCGTCGTAGCGACCGAGAGGCAGCGCCTACACATCTTGTCCGCCTATGCCCCTCAGACCGGATGTCACGAGGAGGAGAAGGATACCTTCTGGGAACTGCTCGACATCCAACTCAGGCAGATCCCTTACGAAGACGACATCATCATCTCTGGCGACCTGAATGGTCATGTAGGGCGGGACAAAAACGGACACCAGTGCCACGGTGGGCACGGCACAGGCGATATGAATGAGAATGGCCAGAGGATCCTGGACTTTGCCGACTCCCATGATATGACCATCACGAACACCTGCTTCATTAGGCGAGAACCCCAACTCCTCACCTACCATAGCAGAAATGGGAACCACCACACACAGATCGACTACATCATCGTACGACGAAGAGCCGCTAAAAACGTGCTCAACGCCAAGGTGTACCCGTACGAATTGAGCAGTCAGCACAGGCCGCTGATGGCGAAGATCAGGATCAGCAAGCCCAAGACCAAGATTGACAAAAAGAATGCAGACCAGCCACGAATCAAGTGGTGGAACCAGAAGAAGATGGCGGGACCCCTCATCAAACCGGAGCAGTTCCTGCAGATGGTCAACAGGCCACAGGAAGCGTGGTCCATGCTGAAGAGCACTGTTCACACTGCCGGCTGCCAACAGCTTGGTTGTACCAAGCCAGGACAGAGACGCATCGAACGAGATACATGGCTCTGGACACCGGAAGTACAAGATGCCGTGCACCTGAAGAAACGGCTCTACAAGGCCTTTCTTCAGGACAAGACCAGCGAGAAGCTCTGCGAGTACAAGGCGGCCAAAAAGGCAGCCAAGAAAGCAGTAGCGACAGCCAGAAGCTCCCACTACGATGACATCTACGAGAAGCTGAACACGCGAGAAGGCGAGAATGAGATCTACCGCCTAGCCAAAAGCAGACACAGGAAGACCCTGGACATTGATCAGTTTCATGGGATCAACGACGAAAGGGGAAATTTGATCGTCAACCCCAGAGACGCTGCCGAGAGGTGGCGGCAATACTTCGAGAAGATCTCCACCGAGGAGTTCCCACACCCACGAACCCCGCGAGGTGACCCCGTCGAAGGCCCAGTCTCAGGCATTCACGCCAGCGAGGTCACCGACGCCATCAAGGCCATGAAAAACGGTAAGGCAACAGGACCAGACGACATCCCTGCCGACTTCTGGAAAAAGGCACTACCGGGCTCGGCATTGTGGTTGTGCGAGCTGTTCAACAACATCGTCTCCACGGGAATAGTGCCACACGACTGGTACCGCAGCACCACTGTTCCGATCTGGAAGGGAAAGGGCAGCCCAGCGGACTGCTCCAACTACAGACCGGTCAGGTTACTGTCACACACTATGAAGATCTTCGAACGCGTCCTCGATAAGCGCATTCGGGACATCGTCGACATCAGCGCCAACTAGGCAGGATTCATCAAGAACTGCGGCACCACCGATGCCATCTTCGGTGTGCGGATGCTGATGGAGGCTCACAGAGAGAAGAAAATCCCGCTCCACACCGCCTTCTTGGACCTGGAAAAAGCCTTCGACCGAGTCCCGCACGATCTCATCTGGTACGCACTGCGAGATCACGGCGTGCCCGAGCTGCTCGTGCAATGGGTCCAACTCCTATACAGATGTCACAAAAGCCGTGTAAAAGCGGCAGCTGGGATATCAGAGGAGTTCAATATCACCGTCGGCGTACACCAGGGCTCTGCTCTCTCACCACTGCTGTTCATTCTGGTGATGGACACAATTACACACGACCTGTACACGCCCGCCCCATGGACGCTGCTCTACGCCGATGATGTGTTCCTGGCCAACCTGCGCAAGGCTGAACTCGAGCACCTAGTCCAACAGTGGCACGACCGCCTCGAGCAGTTCGGGCTCCGGTTGAACCTAAAGAAGTCCGAATACCTGACCACTGACAACGAAACGACAGGCTCCATCCACGTGAACGGGCAGGAGCTACCGCGCGCCTCCACCTTCAAGTACCTGGGAACTACTCTTGGGGAAGAAGGCCTACTACAAACTGAGGTGGCAGCCAGGATCAACGCAGTGTGGGGCAAATGGAAGTCCGTCACGGGCGTCCTCTGTGACAAGAAGATGCCGATGCGCCTGAAGGCGAAAATCTATAACTCTGTGGTGCGCCCCGTGGCTATATACGGTGCAGAGTGCTGGCCGACGACCAAAGAAGTCGAAAGCAGACTCCAGACAATGGAGATGCGAATGCTCCGATGGTCGGTAGGCCTCACCCTACTCGATCGCGTCAGGAACGAAGAAGTGCGTAGACGGTTCAACGTCGTGCCCATCCCCACGGTCATGAGGCAGTCCCAGCTACGATGGTTCGGCCATGTGAGTCGCGCCAAGGAAGAATCCATCATCAAATCTGCGATGAAGGTGATTGTCGGAGGAGCGAGACCGCGTGGCAGACCTAAGCAACGCTGGATGGACACGATCAAGGCCGATCTAGAGATCGCGAAGGCAGACCCGACATACGTGGCAGACAGAGAGGCATGGAAGCAGTACTCAAGGACATTAGCGGACCTCGCCAGAGCGCGAGACAAACGCTGAAGAAAAAGAAGAAGAAGAAGAAGGTCAGGATCTGGCCTGTGGGGTGCTTAGATCTGGCCCTTGGAGCCTCTGCCAGCAAAAACGGAGCCCGTTTTCATTGGCAGAGAGTTGCAGGAGGCCATCGCAGCTGAAAACGGAGCTTGGAAGCCCGTTTTTCACTGGCAGAACACTTGGGTCACTACAGGTGCCCCCGACACGAGTGATGTCGAATCGACCATG